CAAAATTTAAGCTGTAGTTTACGGTTTGATATCGAAACCCTAAATTAGAGCCTATTCTTGTGTAAGCATATCGCAGATCTGAATAAATAATAGACCCGAGGTTTATATTTTCTTCAATTAAAGAGAGTAGGGTCTTAGCTGATCTATCATCAACAGCCCTTGCAAATATTTTTCTTTCTGAGGTTCTCTTTATGCCGCCAAAAATCTATACTCTCTCAACACGATGGCTATAATTATATTTTTGTCTACTGAACTTTGACTCATCTATTTTCACTATGATATCCAGGTCTCCAATATTACCCTGAGTTTCTTGAATATCAAAACCGATGAGAGATCTAGAAAAAATTATTAAAACAAAACAAAAAAAAAAATAAAATAAAATAAAATAATTAATAATCTATAATAGCCCATATAATTCGTTATTGTATGTGATGAATGGCTTGTAATAGCTATAATTGATTTATGCGATGCATTAAAAAGCTATAAATAGCTGATCAAAAAGGCATCATTGGCCTTCAATCGATTCTTAGAAAAAAATGAATCCTTAAATATTGATACAGCTTTTCTGCATCTTTTTCGTCTATATTAGAAAACTTTATCATGCCTCATCATCCTAGTACTACATATACTGCACATGGGCTGTTCATACAAAATCCCTTTATCGAATAAGAAACTGATACAATTTTTTTCATTAAACAATATAGACTGGAGCGATGATAGTGTAGGTATCATTCTTAGGAGAATGCAAATAAGGATGACGAAAATTTGTAAGTAATGATTTATTTTATTTTTATTGTTTAAAAAAAAAATTTAAATTCCGCAAGATAATAATTGTATCATAATTTTGCAATAGAATACAGTATATTTGATGATTCGTGCTAGTTAAAAATTTTATTTATTTTTTTTCAAATCTTTAATAGCTGTGTACTTGAATTATGAAGTATAACAATTACTGTACATGTGCGTATACAAAACTCGGGTTTTTCATATTTCACCAAAAAATTTAATTAGTAAAAAAAAAGAAAATAATTAGAGTGGGTCTGATACATAGGGTGATCTTGTATATACACATGTACGATAGATGATCTTTATTTTTTATTTTATTTGTAATTGAAATTTTGGTCTAAATAAAGTCACATATATTTTTTTATCTATGATATCAAACGAAATTTGATCTATAAGGATGAATATTTTTTCATTCTTGATATATATGGCTTATTTACTAGTAAGCATATTTCAATTTTGCTTACATAAAAAGCGAAATAGTTTCTAGAATAAGTATGGGCCAGAATATAGATAACAAATATTGCAACTATATTGCACAGCTGCCTTATAGATTTGGTAAAACCCTAAATAGCATTTATTAAGTTTCACAAAATGCTTCTAGTTAACCGTATGTTAAACACTTCTTATATATAATTTATATTATGGTTATAAATTTATTTTTTATATATAATAATTGGGGTTAAAACTCAAATCACAGCAATAGGAAGAAACTTAAGAAACTTTTACCTGTAATAAATAACTAATTAAATTATATAATTTTAAAGAATTCATATTTATTTTAATACCAAGGAATAAAAAAAACCTTCACCCATAATAAATAACTAATTAAATTACATAATTTTAAAGAATTTATATTTATTTTAATATCAAGAAATAAAAAAAGAAGAAAAAAGAATAGAAAGATTAAGAGTCAAATTATCTGCAGAAAAATATAAAATAAACAGAAGAAAGAAAAAAAAATATTAGTTTAGAAATAGATAGCATATTATTTTATGAAA